CAATTCATATTGAAGACTGCAGTCCTTTATCTTCTGCAACAAACACTTCAAGCCTTTCTCAGTCTCAGTGAGCAAGGTTATGTCATGTGCATAACCCAACTGCATAAACCGCCAACGGTGATGCCACATTCTTCATAAAGTCCAGTCTCCTGAATAATCTGTTCAGCATACAGATTGAAAAGATTTGGAGAAAGTACACATCCCTGATGCACTCCTGTATTGACTTTTAACCATGCAGTTTCCTTGCTCTGTTTGTACGACTACTTGCTGACCTAAGTATAAACTTTGCATAAGTATAATCAAGTTTTCTGGAAGTCCCTTTCTTCTCAAGGTTAGCCACAATTTGTCATGATCCACACAGTCAAATGTCTTTGCATAGTCAATGAAACACAGATTGACATTCTTCTGGTAGTCTCTGGGTTCTGCCACGATCAATCTGGCTTTGGCTGTGATGTCCCTAGTGCCACAACCTCTTTTAAACCCAGCCTGTCTTCCTGGCAGTTCTCTGTAGATGTTTGAGGTCACAGATTAAGTATCATTTCATCATTATTCATGTGTTTGTAAGATAAATCCTCTCAGTAAACACCTCAATTTTCTCAATAAGCATGTGCCAAAAATGGGATTAACTGTGCAACTTTTATCAAGGACAATGCTTGAGAGAAAATATGGGCAAGGCTGTTTTCAGCTTGGCTCTCTAGAGAAGCAAAATCAATGGAGCATATATAAATATTGCTACAGATACAGATGTAAAACAAAAGGTGAAAGCATAGCAGTGATTGTGAGAATGATGTAAAACTGCGCAGAATTTCATTTATTTGGTACTTAAATTGGCGTTGGTGTGATGATTTCTAATGAAAACAACACATACACAGAGAGAGAGAATTAGACAGCTCACACACTTGTAGATGCTAGCAAGTCTCAAATCTGAGAGTTAGACTTGAGGTTTCTGCAGACTCACACTGCTAGAAACAGTGATTAACTCAAATGCAGCAGCTCAGATGGTAGGCTGCTGGCTTCCAAGGCTGGCCGGTAACAGGGAAGGTCAGGGACTCAAGCAGAAAGAACCAGAGGTCAGACTGTGATGAGTCAGGTGCAGGAACAAATATGTGTACATATATTCCTTCCACTGATTGGCTGCTTTATAGAGGATCTCATCATGGCAGTGACTAACAAATTTCATCAAGAGAATGATTACATTATAACTGCCAAACCAGAGAGTCACAGGCAGCCACGTTGACATACAACAGAATCTCGGCACAAGTATATCCCTATGAGAGAGAGGAGCTTCCTAGTTTGCCTACCATCTAAGGAAGGTTAAACAAGGCTGTTGGGGAAACTTCAAGCCAGTTGGTTCTCATAGGAGCTTTGTGCTTCCCAAGAATGGACCTGACTTAGTCTCTTTTCACTCTCAGTGGCTGGCTGGGAAGAGCTTGTGGGAAACAGGGACCGATGTAATACTACAATTGCTTCAAGGTTCAGCAGCTGAGGTTGTTGGCCAGTGATACTCGTGCAGTTGAAGGTCTTTGCGGCACATTTTCATTTGCATACAGTCTACTTGCCTCGTGACCCACTGATCTACTTTCCCATTCAGGTGCTAGGAGCATCTATTTGGGTCTGACAGCTCTATTTTTCTTGAGGAAAAATTCAGGAAATGGAAGTTAATGGACACTTCTTATCATAACAATTCAAAAATGACAATTTAAAGACTAAGGTGCCCCTGATTCTTTTTCACCACTTGCTATGCGCCTAAGAGCTGGACAATGAATAAGGATGCCAAAAGAATTGATGCCTTTGAGCTGTGGTGTTAGAGAAGAGTATTGAATATCCCATGGATGGCCAAGAGAATGAACAGATACGTCTTGGAGCAGATGCAGCCAAAGTGCTCCTTGGAGGCAAAGATGATAAAGCTTTGTCTCACATTCTTGGGGCATGATGCTAAGAGGGGCTATTCCTTGGACAGGGGCATCATGTTTGGAAAGGAGGAGGGTTAGCAAAAAGAGAGGATGGCCCTCAACTAGCTGGACCTCAGCACAGGGACTGCAGAAATGGGCTCAAGTGTGTCTGCGATGATGAGGATGGCACAGGACAGGGCAGAATTAAAATCTGTCATTCATAGGGTCGCTACTGTGACTCATAGTAACCCTATAAAGAACAGATCTGAACCTGGTCCTATCCTGTGCTATCCTCACCATCTCCAACATATGTGAACCCATTGTTATATTCACTGTGTCCCCCCATCTTGTTGAGGGTCTTCCTCTCCTACACTGACCCTCTACCTTTGCAAGCATGATAGCCTTCTCCATAGATTGGCGTCTGCTCACAACCAGACTGATATATGTGAGACAAAGCTTCACTATCCTTGCCTCCAAGGACACATCCTTGTTTCATTTTCTCCAAGACATACTTGTTTGTTCTTTTGACAGTCCATAGGATAGTTACCACGCTTCTCCAACACCATAATTCAAAGACATCGATTCTTGCCCTGTCATCCTTAGTCACTGTCCAACTTTTAGATGCACAGAAGCCGAAGAAAATGAAAACAAGTCCACAAGAACCAAAATATGACTTTGATTCTATCCCACCTGAATTTAAAAGCCATCTTAAGAAGAGGTTTGAGGCACTGAACACTTCTGATTGAAGACAAGGTTAACTGTGGGATGACATCAAGGATATCATCCACACAGGAAACAAAAAGTTATATCCAAAGACAGGGGAGAAAGAAAAAACTAAAATGAATGCCAGAAGAGGCTCTGAAAATTGCACTAGTATGAGAAGTTAAAACAAAGGGGGGGAAAGCCAAAGTAACAGAGTTGAACAGAAAATTTCACAGGACAGTTCAAAAAGACAAAGTATTAGAATGAAATGTGCAAAGAGCTGGAGTCAGAAAATAAAATGAGAAGAACTTGCTCAGCCTATCTTAAGCTGGAATAAAGAACAAATCCAAGCCCTTAGTTTCAATCGTGAAGGATGCTATGGGAAAAATCTTGAATGATCAAAAGAAGATGGAAGGAATAAGAGAAACGGTACCAAAAAGAATGAGTCAACACGGAACCATTTCAGGAAGCAGCACAGGACCAAGAGTTCCTTTTCGGAGAATGAAATTCACAGAGTTTTGGGGACTCTGTAAGGCCACGAGGGAATGTTTTCTGAGAGCCCACAGGTGCACCAGGCTGTTTGTGTGTGTCCATTTTACCTGCACAGCAGACATGCAGGAAGAAAGTGGAGTCATCTGCCCCGGCCTCAAAGGGAACAGGAGGACCTTGAGGGATAGGACAGTGTCTTTAGTGTCTTTGTCCCTGAACCCTGCCCCCTTCTTGAATGTATTCCTGGTTTTTACCTTTGGATACAGATTCTGGGAAAACCTGGTAGCCTTAGGCCCCTGTTGCAGCAAATAGGTGCAGGTGGACCCTGCAGAGGGAAGTCCTGGCTTTTGCTGCCCACCTTCAAGCAGCCAGGGAGGAGGAAGAGAGGGAGAGCAGGGGTGGGGGTGTGCGGGGGGCGCGGAGGCAGAGCCCACAGTCCCCTCCCCATCCTAGGGAGACTGAAAGGCAAGTAAGTTTCACCACTGGCTCACACTCAGTTTTCAAACATTTTCATTAATTGCCACATGTTAAAATTAAGAGGCTTTATATTAAAGCACCATATGGGAAGCTATCTCAGGAGATCAGAACTGGCCAACTGAGTCCACGTCCACAGACGGCAGTGTCCCAGGGCCAGGAGTCCCTTCCCACAGGACAGCGCTGTAACTCTGTGTGACCCTTCTCACTGTCAGTCCTGATGACTGCTCACAGGAAGAAATGAGTATAATGACACATACCAGCGCTGGCCTGCACACAATTACATGCACTCTATAGACGAGCACATATGTGCATGCACGAGGACACAGCCGCCGTCCTGAGCACCAGTCCTCACCTCCCCTAAATGTGCAGCAATGTGACACTGTCCAATCTATTTCATTTCTTAGTCACTGGCTGTGAGCCACTATACTCTTCTCCTGAACAAACCAGGGGGAGGAACACTAGGGCAGGGCAGAGGCACATGGGGGTCTTCATCCAAGCGCCCAGGGGCCTGTTGCAGTTTGCTATGAACTGTGGGTAAGTCCTCTGGCCCTCAGAATCTTAGTGGCCCCAGTTCCAACAGTGCTTATTAGCTCAGAGGCTCCAGGACTTTGCACTAGAGGGCAGCCCTGTTCTCTTCTCCTTCCAGCTCCTGCCTTTGACCACTATGACCTGCAGCTCCAGGGCTGGAGTCCCCGGGACACTTAAAGCGGCAGACCAGCGATGTCACAAAGGGGGAGAAAGTGGAGGAGTAAGATAAGGCAGCTTCATCAAGTGAGCATCTGTTTCCAATTTTGTTCTTCCGCTGCCGCTGGGGTTGAGCCTCCTTCTCCGGGCTAATTATCTGTGTAAGACATCAAGGGAAGTGGTGACATGCTGGCCACGTGACATTCTGAGATCATCCTCAAACACAAACACATAAAGATAAGGGACCAGGAAGTTTTTACTTTGAATATTTTTTTTACAATGCACATGTGCTACTTTTACAGTTAAAAAACAAAAACAATACAAAAAACTTACAATGATTTCTTTTTTTAAAGGAAAAGAACTTATCAGAGTGGAACATGAAAGGAAATGTCCACTTGGAGTCTGAAAGCCACAACGTGGTCACTTGGTCGTTTTCTGCAGTGGTCACTCATGCTGTGTCCTGGACTCCACCTGAGAGACTCAGACAGGGACTCTGGAACCGTTCTGGACGCTCCCACTCGGCACGCTCAGAGGAACACTTTCCAACGCTAACTCCCTCCACGTGGGGCAAGCGAGAGGCCCAGGAGCCCAACAGGAATCGAGTCAGCAAAATTAAGTTAATTTATGAAGTCAAAGTAAAAACCACAATAATAATCCACCCACCCTCCCCCCGTACAGTTTAGAAATGGAACGGAAAGAAGCACTTGTCCAATGCAGTGACTGTGGCAGCCCAGGGCAAGAGCGGGGAGCCACGAACAGTGCCTGGAGCCGCGGCTACAGGGCAAAAGTAGTGAAGAAGACGTGCATCTTGATCAGGAAGGTGGTGATGGAGCCCTGCCGCCACAGCTTCATCTCCACGTCCAGGGCGAAGTCCCGGGGCTCCAGCACCGAGCGCTGCAGGTAGACAAGGCCCGTGTAGGGGTCGAGCTTGCGTGTGCCAAAGTAGCGCTCTTCATTGCCCTTGGTGATGGTCAGGGAAATGGTGTCCCCCACGAAAATTGGGGCTGGGCTGATCCGGAAGATGTCCGCGGGCACCAGCAGCCCTGTCTGGAAGTTGAGCTGGTAGTAAGTGATGCGGGCTGGCGAGTTCTGGCATTTCACCAGGTCGTGGCACATGGTACGCTCACACTTCCTGCGGGGACAGTGGGAAGGGTTGGGGGGGGTGAGCCACAGGCTCCCCTGAGAAGCACATCTGCGCTCAGGCCCTGGCTCTCTCACCTGGCCATCCACCCCCATCCTCCCCTGAGGGACTCAGGTGGTGACCTCGACACCATTCCTGCTGGCCCCACTCAGTATGCTGACAGGAACACACTTTTCAACGCTAACTCCCCCCCGTGGCATGCGAGAGGCACAGGAACCCAACAGGAATCACGTCAGCAAAATTAACTCACAAAGTTAAAGTAAAAACCACAACAATTAAGCTCAGGTGCCAGCCTACCCCCACTTACAACCAGGACAGGATGTCACAGACTTGACCAGACTAGAATCATGCTCCATAAGGTTTTCAAAGGCTGCTCTTTTCCAAAACAGCTCACAAGGCCTTTTTTTCTCTGAGAAATTAAAACCTGCAGCCTTGCGGTTTGCAAGGTCTCTTTCACTTACTATCCAGTAGAGGGTGAGTCATATTACCTCTCCAGGTCCCAGGTGACTTATCTCTAAGAAAGCCAGGAACAATCTCAAGGTTTCATTGGAAGATGGGACATGTTTCTAGCTATGTAACGCATGCACATGGCCAGATGTGACTGGTTAGTGGCTCTTGCGCAATTATACACATGCACCTTCTTTCCACCCATCCACTCGTTCATTCATTCACCTTTTATTCCTAGTTTCCTTAATTTTTTATCACTTTTCCTTTTTATTTTCAAGCCTGCACCCTGCTCATAGATTCTCTTGGCATTGGTGGTGTTAGTATGAAATTCCTTCTACAACAGACTCTCCTTCCAAGTTCGTTTGCTCATCCGCCCAGGCTGAGCCATCTTTTGGAGAAGTCTCTCTGAGCATCATGTGAGTGATGTCTGTCCCTGCTTGCAGTCTACAGGCCTGGCCATGCTGATGACGATGATATGAACACATGCCAGCTCTCCCCACAGCCCCGAGGGTGGCCCAGGCCTCAGAGCTCTAAGTGCTCACAGCCAAAGTTTGTCTTTTCCTGACCCTATAAGCCGCCACCATCTCTATCATTAAATCACTGGCAAAACAGTAGTATCTAATTTACTGTATTAACCAATGATTAATTAATGTTATAAAACAAAATGTCTATGACCGGCTGTATAAAAAAAAAAACAAAGCCTCAACAGCTCCCTGACTTCGTGGCATAAGTAACAACGACAACAGCACTCATTCCAGGCCAGTTACTGCGTTAAGACATGACGTTAATCTTCACAGTGCCCCCTCAGGGTGTGCTATATCCACCCCAAGTTACAGATGTGGCAACCGAGGCCCAGAGAGCTGAGGTGACTTTCCCAGGCTCCTACAGACACAGTCACCTGAATGCTCCAGGACAGGTGTACAGGGACACTCCCTAAGGCCATGTGCTTCCAGGCAGATAACAACGGCCCACTCACACTAGGTAAAACATAAACACAGTCACTCAAAGAGAGTGGGGCCTGCAGTAAAGCCAGCAGGGAGTAACAGAGCCAGCCACTGAAAAAGGAGCCCAGGTACACCAGACGGAGTGCTGCACGCATTTGGCTTATTCCGGGATGAAAAGAAGTTAACCTGTTTGCCGTCAAGCAAACACAATTTACTAGAGAGGTCAGGGGAACAGGATTTTTACGTTGGCCTGTATGGTTTTGTGGTTTGCATTTTTAAATTAGCTTAAACAGCTGATCCTCATTATTTGCAGATTCTGTATCTGAGAATTCACCTACTCACTAATATGTACATGCAACCCCAAAATCAAATTAGGGAGCTCTGCTGACCTAGGGGTAGGAAATAGTGCTGCAACCCCCAAAGGCATGCAGGTTGAATCCACCAGCTGCCCCGCAGGAGAAGGATGGGCAATCTCCTCCTGTGTGATTTACTATTTCTGAAAATCCACTGCAGGGTTGGCTATAGGTCTGTTCTGACATGATGGTACACAACAACACAACCACAGCAACAACAACTACCACCCCCAAATCTGTACTTGCCCTTCCATGGTCATTCAGGGTCACACACGGATGCGGCACAGCACAGAGCGAGCGGCTCAGTCCACATAAACAGGGCACCTCTAACTGGGCCTTCTTCAGCTCTCACACTGCAAACAAGCATCCTTCTCACCTGTATTTAGCACCATGCTTTATAGTGGCTTGGCTTTTTTGCATTTTTGTACTTTCTGTTGTCAATTTCAGTGTTTAAGACTGCCCCAAGCACAAAGTTAAGGCGCTGCCTAGTGCTCCTAACTGCAAGACTGTGATATGTCTGCTTTCATTCAAGCTTTATGTAGGGTGATGGTATGGGTTCAATGTCAATGCATCAATAATCTATATTGCATAAGGTGTCTTTAAACAGAAACACCCATAACGTAAGGTTGTGTACTGACTGAAGGATAGGTGAACAGAAGCTTGCAGGGACTTATCTCTGTTCTTCCCCTTGAGTCGCGTGTGGGTCCGCACACACCAATTCAGTGTGTCTGGCACCTTCTGAGAACTACCGTGAATAATCACAGCATCATTCTGCTGTGAGATCAATAGCATCATTTTGCAATTTAAGAAGGAAAAAAAATGGGCAAGTACTTTGCAAAATGAAATGGGAAACAAATGATATTATTATACAGTTTTATGAAGCCTTTAAAAGGACTTTAAGAAAACATATATTCAGAACACAAAGGGCAGGAAAATGGCAAAACATCAAGGGCATCCACCAGACAGCTGGTCTCCAGACTGCAGGATGCTCTGTGGGCGCCGTCAAGTGTTCCCCCACCATGCAGACCCTCCCAGAGCTGGACTGTGTGAGGGGTGGTCACTTCCAAGGTCAAGTTGAGTCCCTGCCGGTGCTCTGCCCAGCTCACTCACTCTGGGGGAAGTTACGGTGTCTGAAAGCAGCACCCAGGTGGTGGAGTACCAGACAGGCCTCCTCCTACAACCACAGGAGGAAGTCTGGCAGACCCAGACCTAGCCTAGGCTCTGCGCCAGAACCGACCAGTGACGTTGCTCCTGACTCCATGACAGTAAACATCTGTCATTTCAAATGGTCAGTTAATGAGAATTTGCTCTCCACAGCAATAGATCACAGATATGTAAACTGTGTGCGCTAGAAGGTGACTACTTCCCGGGAACCTTTCCTGTGTGTTTGTTGTGCCCTGAGTGTTCAGCAGTGCACATTCCTCTGCTCTGGGAAATGAGGATGGAAGCGCAGGCCAGCAGGGGCCATAGACAGAGGGAGGTGGGTCCAGGTAGAGCCTCGCTGGGCAGCACAGAATCGGCACATGGACAGGCTAGAAGGGCACTCACGTTTCAGAGATGCGGACGTAGTTTGGCGGGCAGTCAAAGCGCAGGCAGCGGAAGCTGCCCTGGATGTTGTAGCAGGTTTCGGCCTCTGAGCAGTTGTGGGTCCCCAGCGCACACTCATCCAGGTCTGGAGAGAGCAAATAGAGTAAAGTGAAGGTTCCTCCTGGCTGTGGGACCTTGGCCTTAACCACCCCCACCAACCCCGGGATCATGAGTCCTAGGACTGTACCATCTGGCCCACCCTGCTCCACATGTCCTCCTGTTGGCCCCTTCTGCACCCAGCAGCCAGAGCCCTGGCTGAAATGCAAACAATCTCACGTCACCTCCTCAGATGGCTTCCCAGGCTCCTGGGGTAAAAGCCTAGAGCCCTGCCATGGACCTCTGACCCCTTCCTGAGTCCGCCTCCTTTCCTGCGCTGCAGCCATGCTGGACTTCCATGACACACTGGATGCCTGTAGGCCACCTCACCACCTAGACTCTAGCTCCAACCCAAGGCTTCCACACACACTGTGCCCTTTGCTGGAACCTTCCTCAAGAACACCCGCCCGGTGCTCTAGGTACTCTGTGCTCACCCACTGTCACCTCACAAGGCCAGTCCAGGGCTCAGGCAGGGTAGGGCCAGCCCACATGCTTTACTCACTCCTTGTGCAAACGAGGTCATGACCCCAACTCCCCAGCCTGGCACCAAGATGGACAAGGGAGCACAAGAGATGGGTAAGTCAATGCCTGCTGAGGGCTAGTTGTGACTCTGTGTGCAGAGTAGGCCCCTTTGATGTGCAACCTGTAACCTGGTCACACACTGGGGAGAGGGACAGGAAATCCTGAGCCCTGAGGCTTGGGTGTGGGACAGGGTTGGGAGAAGGGCAGGAGCTCCTGACTGCCCAACTGTGGCTTATCAGCCCTGGTCTCATCAGGACCACAGGAAGTATCCACAGGGACCCTGCAGGCAAGGGGCCAGGCTCAAGCTAGGGGATGGACAAGCTGGGCACAGTACTATCTGTCCAGGGATGTCACTGCAGCCTCACCAGATACAGGGGACAAAGCAGGGGGAAAATACATAAAGGCACAGAAACTTTATAGGTTTCTGAAAGACCTGAGGGCCAGACAGCAGAATGTCCACAATCTGTCCAGTAACTTTAACAGGCACTGCTCAAAGTCACCCTTGCCAAGGGCAGAGAAGGGATTCACATACTCCCACCTAAGAGAAAAGCAGGATTCAAGATATTCTCACTATGATCCTAATTCACATTCTATTTCCTGTATGATGTCTGCAGAAAGCAATGCTAGGGGTGATGCAACCACAGGTCCATCATGTCCCATAAACACCCCCTCAGCATGTCCCATAAATACTCTGCACTGTGCTCGGCAACCCTCTAGGAACTGGGGCCAACCACAGACATGGTCCCATCTTCCTGGGGTGCATGTTCCAGTGAAGGCACGGCTGAATCTACAATCCTGAGCATCTTTCTGGACTTCTGGTTAATGAAGTATTAAGTTCAATGTCATCAACTTGATTTTGACTCAGAGCACAGGTACCTCCCACCAGTAGATCTTGGCACATGCCCAGGACCAGGATGGAGGCTAGGAAGAGCTGCCCTGTAAGAGCAAAACTTCTGATGTTCCTGGGTGAGGGAGGGGGGCCTGCACCTCAAGGGGGAAAACACATTCCAGAAGCAAAAAACTGCATTTCCTGAGCAACTGAGTTTATAATGGGTAAAATCATTACCTTTCACCATGCCCACACGTACTGTTTTTTAAAAGGCAATGCAGAGGGCAGGGTCATGTTGCCACTGGGCCTTTGTCACAGCAGGAGGAGTATGGAAGACTCGCAAACAGGGACCAGGTGTACAGACAAAGCTGGAGGACACACTGGGGCCACAGTGCCCTCTGTCCTTATCAGGTTTGCCCTGCCCGAACCACCAGCCATTCGAGCCTCCAATACCAAGGAGACAAAGGCCTGGGGAGGCCCACGAGGTTGATTTTAGGAGCCACTCCTGGATCAGCCACCAGCCTGCACACACTGCTTTGTGACCCCTGGATACACCTGCCCTCGTGAACTAAAAGGCCACCCGGGGCCAGGGCAGATGTGCCCTATAGCAGCCAGGAATGGGACAGGGCCCTTTTCAGTGATTTTGCCCCAGTGCTGCAGGTCCTCCTCCTGTGTCCTGCACCTTGGCCTTGCCCTGGATGCTAGCTAGACCTTATCTCTGTGATCTCAGCAAATCCTGGCGATACTGAACAAAGAAATCCTTGGCTCTCAGCCTAGAAGGCACGTCAGACATCACAACTGTGCAGATTTACCGGCTGGTTGCCCAGCCATCACTGGCATATCCCCAAGGCTGAGCCACTCCCTCTGTGTGGCACTTCCTTCCTTACACAATTCCAACCAGGATGACATACAGGGAATAAGTCAACACAGAGGAATAAGCCTTCATGATCAACCTCTCTCTCTCTCTCTCTCTCTCTCTCTCTCTCTCTCTATTTCTCTCTCTCTCTCCTGTGGACCAATGCACTCCCACCTTCTAGACCCTGGGCACCTGGACAGAGCTGTGGAGAGCTGAGGACAGTGATTAGGACCCTATCTCCTCTCATCTCCTTTAGAACTATGTGCAGTATCCCTGTCCCCTCCTCAGACCAGGCCCAAAATCAAGGGCTGAGCCCAGGGCTGGAAGAACTAAAACAACAGCAGGACCGTCCCCTCACTCATGCCTATACAGACCACAGCGAAAGTGGCCATCAGTGGCCCAGCCAGTCTGCGTTTATGTACTCAGTGCAGAAACTTGGTTTGAGATCTCAGGGGGTAGGGCCCTCACTCACCCTTGCAGGACCTCCCGTTGGCCCTCATTGCGTAGCCCTGCTCTGGACAGGCGCACTGGTAGCTCCCCGGCGTATTGACACAGCGGAAGGTGCAGAGGATGCCAGCGCCCTGAGCGCACTCATCAATGTCTGTCAGAAAGAGGGTGCGCCTTGGAGCCTGCCCCGGAAGACCGGCCACAGCCTGCTTGTCCCAGGGAGCTGAGTGACCTCACTTCAGAGAAGAGGACAGAGAGGGGCCCGGGGCCACACAGCAGCACAAGACTCCCCTCCCCGTGGTCGTCTCCTGGGGCTGCTCTGACACGGTCGCTATCAACTGAGGGACAAGAAGCACCAGCGACAAGCTTGGGCACTCTCACAGGGTGACTTAATCCAAGTCTCAACCCCCAGGTCCGGGTCATTATCCTCATTTCACAGCGGAGGAATCTGAGTGAGGCCAGAGTAGGGGACAGTAACTGATCAAAGGTAGATAACCAGGAAACAGGGACACTAGTCCTGGATCCTGAGTCTGGAGGGCACAGGTGCCAGGGGAGGAACTACCTCTGCAGGTGTGCCCGTCCTCGGCCAGCTGGTAGCCCTGGCGGCAGTAGCACTGGTAGGAGCCGTAGATGTTGGCACACTCCTGGCTGCAGCGCTGGGTCTCACATTCATTCACATCTGCAGGAGATGAGCATCAGCCCGGCCCTCCCAAGTTTCCCCACTGCATGAGCGCAAAGGCACCCTGGTTCACCTCGACACTGGCCTTCTAGCCTCCCCTCAGGACAGAGGAGGAACGAGGCCATGAAAGGCAGGAGGCTACTCAAGGAGGAACAGAGTGGGCCGCTGGATGACTGGCTGCCAGGAGGAAACTGCCACAGATGGGCCTTGGATGTCCAGAGGGAAGGTTCCAAGACTCTAGGAGCTCAGCAACTCTGGGGAGCTGTTGCCCAGGGCACTGACAGGGACCTCAGGAAGGGCTGGGGCCAGCTGTCCAATCCCTGAGCTGACTGGCACTGCATGGTCGTGAGAGTGGGTGCCAGGAGATGAAATAAACACACAAGGTGAGTAAGCGAGAGGATGAATGAAGGAGCAGCAGTCTATGATGTGCAGCTCCTTTTAGCAAGAGGCTTATTCTTCTGTGTTGTTCTGCACCATGAAGTCAGAACCAATCCATCGCTGACCCTCCAGCAGGTTTTCAGAGGCAGTAAATAACACAGGAGGAGAATGCTCATTTTTGTCCCAGAGAGGAGATGGTAAATTCGAACCGCCTGCCTTTGGGTTGGCAGCCTAACTCCTTAACCACTACAACACCAGAGCTACCTTTTACACATGCAGTAAAGAACCACTAAAACCCTACAATGTGCAGAGTCTGTGCTGAGTCTGGGGACTCCATGTGAACAAGGTCACAGAAGTCGTCCTTCGTGGAGCTGATATCCTTGGTGGGTGGGCTCGTAGGGCATGTCAGGGGCTCGGTAAATAAGTAAGTAACCCGTGTGAGAAGGTGGCATGTGCTGTGAGGAAAAATAAAGCCAAGAAAGGGCAGATGGCTGCAGTTTAAATAAGGTAGGTGCTCAGAGGAGGAATCTCCGAGAGGAAATGTGCATGGAGGTGTCTGGGAGAGGGCACCCCCACAAAAAGGTCCTGAGGAAGGGCATGCTGGGGTGTCGGAGCACAGCAGGAAGCAGTCACAGTCAGAAGGGAGTCTGCACGCTGAGCTGGCAGGAGGCAGACACACGTTTCCATTTCCAGGATCTGGCAACAACCATGGTAGTCACAAAAAACCAAGAATAGTTTCCCTCCTTTTCTGGTATCTGAGCTGCTCAGGGTCCAGGGACCATCTCAGATTCACTTCTAGCACCCAGTCAGTGCAAGCAGTAAAAAGTGAGACTCTATGTCTACATAGGCAGTTCTGGTGGCCTAGTGGTAAGGAACTGTGCTGTCAAGCCAAATGTGGTTCAAATCCACTAGCTACTCAGTGGAAGAAAGATGGACAATCTCCTCCCACGTGATTTATTGCCTCTGAAAACCTGCTGGAGGGTCAGCTACGGGTTGGATCCGACTCAATGACACTCAACATGACTATATGGTGGGTACTGGCCTCCCTCCCAAAAGTTCTCATGGCTGCACTTTGAAGTTTTCACTGTACACATAACGTGACTCCATGAATGAGATGGGGAATGACTGAACGGAAGCAACTCTGTCAGAGCTCGAGCTCATTTGACATGACCAGTCCTTCCACCATCCCTGACAGGGTTTCCTCCTCAGGCATCAGAGAGGCTCCCACCACCAGGGTGCAGGGAGGAAAGACAGTACAGGGCCAGCAAGGCCCTTCACTTACCCCTGCTCCTTCACTTACCCCAGCCCTTCATTTACCCCGTCCCTTCATTTACCCCTGACCCTTTCTCTTAACCCCACCCCTTAACTTACCTCTGTCCATACACTTATCCCTGACCCTTCACTAACCTGTGTCCCTCTGCTTACCCTGAGTCCCTCCCTTCATTTACCCTGCCTCGCTTATCTCCCAGCCCCTTCACTTACTGTTGTCCCTTTACTTACCCTTGTCCCCTTATATACCCCAAATCCCCCAAAGCCTTCACTTACTCCTGACCCCTTCATTGATCCAGCTCAGGACCGCCCCACATCAGTCCCTGATGGACCTGGCCAACTATGCAGGGGAGGTGTATAGGGACAGCCTTTCACCACATCCCCCTCCAACAACCTGGCCTCTAACCCAACATGGATGAGAACACAAACCTCAAATGCCATCCTGTGGGCACACCTGGCTTAGCCTGTAGTTATCAACAAACTAGAAAATCCAAGTGCTGTCACATCAGCATCTTTTCTTGCATCTCTGGAAGCACTGGCCTGCTGTCCACCAGCCTCTCCAGCTGGGCCACTGCTGGCGCTTTCCTCACTTCCAATCCCTTCTGGGACCCTGGACCACTGACTGACACTGAGACTACCCAAGTCGGTTCCATGGAAAGGCTGGTACGGGCCCTGAGACCTGAGCTCCCCCACTCCCGAGCCTTTACTGACGGGTTCCCAGGAGGGGCCCTAGGAACACACAGAACCAGCCCTTCTGGTCTGTGGCAGCCATGACACAGCCCTTGAAGGGGAGCAGCCTGACCTAGTGACTAGTGAGCAAGGGATGGTTTGGAGAGCTAAGGGGGATGGGAGACATGGTCTGTGGGTGCCTGGGGTGGAGGTGGAAGGCTGGTGGGGCAGGCCTGCAGGTGGAGTCTGGCCGGTGGGGTCAGAGGTCAGGGCCAGCCAGTGTACCTTCACAGTGCTTGCCGTCGGCAGCCAGCACGAAGCCTGAGGCGCAGGAACACCGGTAGGAGCCCAACGTGTTCTCGCAGGTATGTTGGCACACGCGGCCCGGGGAGGCCCAGCACTCGTTCACATCTACAGGGGGGCGGGCAGCAGGCAGTGTCAGGAACCCCTCCACCCAGCCACCTCCCCAGGCCACAGAGGGAGCTGGGAGAAGAGGCAAAGATAAGGGGTGAAAGACAGAGGGACAGACAGAAGAGCAGATGGCTAGAGCCAAGAGGGGACACTCACAGGCTGGGAGAAGTGGCCAAACCTGGGAGGAGCCCAGAGTGGTGGCCTGGGGAGCCAACAGTCATCCAGCCTCGAGGCAAGGGGACAGAGGGAGCAATGGTCCCACGTACCAACGCAGGACCGGCCAAAGGCGTCGCGCTGGAAGCCTGCTTTGCAGTCACAGCGGTAGGAGCCAGGGAGGTTGTGGCAGACCTGACTGTTGCTGCAGCGGTGCATGCCTGTCTCACACTCGTTCACATCTGCAGGAGAGATGGGGGCACTCTTAGGTCCCTGCTGCTTCCCTTTATGCCCCCTAGGCCCTGGGGATCTGAGCAGCAGGCCTTACCCACACACTTGGTGCCATCTTCGCTGGCGTGGTAGCCACGGCTACAGAGCAACGGGTTTCGCTGGCATGTGTAGGAGCCCACTGTGTTGATGCAGCTGAAGCCTGGCTTACAGGGCTCAGGCAATGACGTGCACTCGTTGATGTCTGCAGGAGTTAAGGGAGGTGGTGCCACTTTCACAGTCCAGCATTGAGGCAGGGCCGTGTCACCAGGCCCCAGAGAAGGCTGCTTGGTCAACTTCCCACCCTGTCTTCCCCTTATCTAGGGGTCTCTGCTTCCCAGAACTTTTAAGCACTCAAGTAGACACAAAGGAACCCTAAACAAATTCTGACTTGAGTCTCCCCATCCGCCCCTGCCAGGAGCAGGATATCACAGTTAGGGTTTTATGATGACAATACAGTTTGCCTCTGAAAGTAACCAGGTCTATTCAGAATGAATCCAAACATCTTGCCACAGCATACAAGGCCCTGCCAACCTCTGCAGCCTCCTCTCCCCAGCCCCTACACATGTTCTACTCTAGCTCCCCTGGGCCCTTCATTGACTCCAATGTTCCATGGTCATCTCAAGGCCTTTGCACATCTTATCCCCTCCTCCTGGCACAAACTGCTAGCCCAAAGGCACACAGTTCGAATCCACCAGCTGCTCTGCAGAAGGATGGACAATCTCCTCCCCTGTGATTCACTGCCTCTGAAAACCCACTGGAGGGTCAGCTATGGGTCGCTTCCAACTTAACAATACATAACAACCACCACCACAATTTGTCTTACTACTTATCCAAGTATCAGTAATTACTGCTTTCATAAACATGCTTACTTATTTAGTCTTCCCAATCATTGTTAAACTTTGACAGCTTCCCAAAACACCTAGAATTCTGATGTTGTTGTGCAGCACTAAGTTGGAACCGATCCATGGCTGACCTTCCAGAGGGTGTTCAGAGACAGGTAGCTGCACAGGTGGAGATTACCCATCCTTCTCCCATGGAGCAGCCTGTAAATTTTTACTGCATGCTTTCTGGATTGCAGAACTGCTTCTTGCCACTAGGTCACCAGAGCTCACTAAGCTTTTAAAAAAAAATAAAATAAAAATTCATAGCTATTGAAGGGGAAGCAACTCAGAGCTGACCGTCCAGTGGGTTTCCAAAGGTTACAAGCGCACTGGAGAACTGCTCATCTTTCTCCCTTGGGGCAGCTGACGGATTCAACCACCACAGAGGCACTGTCTTGGGCTTGGCAGCGCAACACCTACACAACTAGAGCACACTTATCAGGTGCTCAGGTAATGTTAAGGCCGAATGAACTAACTGTTTGGAGTCAGGACAACTTCCTCACCTTGCCGTGGCCCTGGCTGGGCAGGTCATCTCAGCACTGACCACTGCTATGCCCTTTAATTTTTTTTTATTTCTTATTTTCATTTTTTCTATTTTTTTTTTTTTTACTTTATACCGGTTTGCTTGTACTGCTAGGAGAACAAACAGGTTCGTCATAGACAGGGTGAGACCTGGATGCTCCTTGGAGGCAAGGATTTTGAAGTTCTGACATACTTTGGACATGCTGCAAGAAGGGACCAGTCCTTGGAGGGTCATCATGCTTGGGAGGATAGAGGGGCAGCACAAGAGGGGAAGATGCTCAATCAGATGGATTGATTCAGTGACTGGGGAATGGAGGTAGGTGTGTCAGAGACAGTGGGGTTGGCTCAGGATAGAGCAGGGTTCAGAGCTGTTGTACATAGGGTCGCTACGAGTCACAAGAGACTCGATGGCATATAACAACAACAACAATAATGGGTGGTTTTGTAAACTTTACCCTCTGGTTGTCAATTTCTATGGCATTGTGTTTTATAGGTTGACTGTGGTCTGAGAAGATACTTTTTATCATTTCAATGTTTTTTAATTTGTTGAGGCTTACTTTGTGTCCTAATACATAATTGGTTCTAGAGAAAATGCCATGTGCATTTGAAAAGAAAGTGAATTGAGTTTTAGTCGGGTGCAGTATCCGGAATACAATCACAAGGTTGAGTTGGCTGATTGTATAGTTTAGATCTTCTGCATCTTTGTTAAGTTTCTTTTGAGTTGACCTATCCTTTGTTGACAGTGGTATGTTAGTCTCTTACCACTACTGTGATGCTATTGTTGTTGTTGTTGTTATGTGCCATCAAGTCGCTTGTGACTCAAATCGACCCTATGTACAAGAGCTCTATACGCTCTTCTATCCTGTGTCAACGTAGTCATCTCAAACACACTTATTCCCACCGCTCCAGTCACAGAATTGATCCATCTCCTCAAAGGTCTTCCTCTCCTTCGCCGCCCATCCACTCTGCCAAACATGATGTCCCTCTCCAAGGACCAGTCCCT